GCGGTGAGAGAGAACATACTTGGTCCCAAACACCCTGATACTGCCTTCTCCTACAACAATATTGGTAGTGTACTGCAGGATATGGGTGAGTATAAAAAGGCGCTTGATTATTACACGAAATGTCTTGCAGTGAGAGAGGAGACACATGGTCCCAAACACCCTGACACTGCCTCCTCCTACAACAATATTGGTAGTGAACTGCAGGATATGGGTAAGTATAAAGAGGCGCTTGATTATTACAAGAAATGTCTTGCAATTAAACATAAACTTGGTCCCAAACACCCTGATACTGCTTCTTCTTTCAACAATATTGGCAGTGTACTGCAGGATATGGGTGAGTATAAAGAGGCGCTTGATTATTACAATAAATGTCTCGCGGTGAGAGAGAACATACTTGGTCCCAAACACCCTGATACTGCATCCTCCTACAACAATATTGGCAGTGTACTGCACGATATGGGTGAGTATAAAAAGGCGTTTGATTATTACAAGAAATGTCTTGCAGTGAGAGAGGACATACTTGGTCCCAAGCACCCTGATACTGCTTCTTCTTTCAACAATATTGGCAGTGTACTGCAGGATATGGGTGAGTATAAAGAGGCGCTTGATTATTACTTAATATCTTTTAGTAAAAGAGGAGATACTTTGTCCCAAACACCCCGAAAACTTGAGAATGATCAACTTGATTGAGGATTTATCCAAAAAGTACCGTGGTGATCAAGTCACAGTACCATACTGCTCAATAATTTAGTCGTTCATTGAGTCATGAAGCAGCAAATCTCTTACCCATGTCTGAAACGGCAATGGTATTTTCATAAATCACTACATTTCTAAAGCCAGTCAATTTGTATAAGACAACAATAAACATGTGCTATCAAGGGCGCCTTTTGCCTCTACCAGCAATAAAATAAGACAAATATTATGTATGCAGAGTTCCCATAAAGATTTAAGGACAAGGAGTCTTTTATAATGTGACAGTAAACAGGCGTTAGTCTTCATTCCCTACAACTGTTCTATGAACGTAATGGAGCACATTAAATGGATTCTTCAACCATCACAGCATTCTACTTCAGTATTTCTGTTTTCTTAAATCCATTATGTTGGCAATTTCATCACTCTCCTCTTCCTGTTTTTCTTCTCCTTCATCTTCTTTCTCCTGATTTAAAACACCCATATTGTAGAGTTTTTTAATAATTCATGAAATTAGTTCAAACTACACTGTGGAGTCATTTTTCTCATCTCTAAATACAACCAAACAGTCTTATACATGCATATATAAGTCGTTATTCTCTTGTGCGTCCTTCAAACAGAGTCATAGTTCCTTGTCGATGTTGCCTCTGATATACATGCCTTATTAAACTCTTAACAAATACTTTCATCAGCCATACACAGTCACTCTCTGCCTTATCCATTAAATATTCTTAAACTACATCAAAGATGTTATAATCCAAAACAAGCATGACTTGATCATAAATCAATGCAGTTAAAACCACTGCAGTTTTTTTGCCAGTAACTCCCTAGCTCCCTTAGGAGTATAAGCTAGAGGTTTAGGAACTCAGTCCCATCATTTCTATTGAGTTTTGCCCTGATGTTAATAGTCCCAAGCCCTCATTTCCCTGATGAAGTCTGACGACTGTCAACAGACAAAATATTGGATGGTAAATATCAGTTAAATTTTCTAAGCGTAATACCTTGGCACTTGGACCATATATAACAAGTACATTAAGCACAAGCTGAAACTTTTCAAGCTGAAACCATTATCTTGCAGCCAATATTGAGGCAGGTTTTCGTCAGACTTATGGGTTTTCATTATGCTTATACAAAGTTTGAGTTTTACTTTGTGACAATATTTATCATTTTATTTAGGGTGTAAATATATCAGGTGAATAACAAAATATATTTTCATGTTATTAAATGTCTGACAAAGCGTTAACTCTGCAAACATTGTTATATCATGCCATTTCTATTATATTATCACAATAAAACTTTTATCTGTATTCAGTGAAGCATTTTACCCAGAAGGGGCAGTTTATCATGTAACAGTTGAATGTGAATATTAATTTTGTTGAACCAGTCAACAACACTTTGTTTAAGTTAGCCTGTATCGTAGTGATTGCAAGGTTTTGTAATGTAATTTTGACTTAGTGAAGACTTAGGTTTGTTAAAATATAATTTTCTCTAGCTTATACAAAGTCTTCATATTAGGATGGATATGTCAAGTTATAGGTGAAGCATCTGCACATGTTATCATCTGTAAATGTCTTCTTCCGATGATAATGAGAACACATGAGGATCGAAAAGATCCATTATGATAACCAGGCATATATTGCAAACAAGTAATGTGTGATACTTATAGTATATTTATGTGTTCTTATCATTTCTATGTACATGCGTGCATTTAACATATGTTCAATATACTTTGCAAAGAAAGTATTATGAATCTTATATCAACTGCAATTGTTGTTCTGTCAAATTATAAGAACTGGTTTGTTTCACTAATTTTCTCAGTCTATTTAAGAGGATTATATTTTAGAAAGGTTGCATTATAGAGTTTTAATGTTTAAGTGAATTACAGAGACGAGTGTGTGGTATATGCTAAAATATAGTTATTTATTATTAATAAAACACAGTAAATAAGTACTTTTGGGTGACATTTGTCACGTTTTCTTAAGTACAGCAGTGGGAGCATGTGCAGAAGATATATGGAAATATTATCACGTTACAACTAAAAAGGAAAGATTCCCTGTAGTATTATGTGTTAATGATGACCACGTTATCCATATTTTTAATTTGGCAAAACTGTTTTCAGTTGCACTAAGATCATGGTAAAACTAACAGTTCTAAGATACGATAATGGGGGATGCATAAAAATGTATTTACTTTGAATCCTTTACTTGCTTACCAAACCCTTGTCTTTTCATCCAGGTGTTTTTCTAGTAGAAAACTGCACTGCTTTACGGCAAGGGATCTATACCATAGCGGTAAATCAATTGAAAAGTGAGCAGAAATCTTCATTAGCTTGGTAGTTGTATCATATATGATAATTATCAAACACAAGCAGAAATAATTTCATACATTTCGCTTAAGTCTAACCTGGACGTAGGCCTTCATCAAACGGATATGAATTGGTTTTAAACAGGATGGACTATGAGCGCAGTATTCAACACCTGTTGAATGACGCTATATATATGCTCCAACTTAAACTTATGTGTTTAATACCGTAGGATTACAGAAAGAAGGGAACCAACTAGATCCCAGTGTTCTCGACTTTACCCTACAGCATAAACAAACCACCTAAGTCACCATGTAATAAACTCTAAGAACTCTTTAGATAAAGTGAAGGACATCATTCTGGGACCACATGAAGCTTTAGTATCATATGACTTGAGTGCACTTTTCACTTGTTTACCTTTGGATTACGCTCTAAAAGTGATCAGTTCTAGACTTACACAAGATACCACCCTCATGGAAGGTACCAATCTGTCAGTAGAGGATATCACGGAGGTATTAGACGTAGCATTGAACACCACATACTTTATCTATAAAGGCGAATTCCCGCAAGCTTAAACTTGGAGCGGCCATGGGCATTCCAATCAGTCTTATTGTGGGCCAATTTGTATATGGAGAACTTTGAGGAAGCACTGGGGTCTATTCCCAATCCTCTACGTCTTCGGTTGAGATGTGTAGATGGCACGTTCACCATCTGCCACAGGGACCACATAACTGCCATCACTGATTTTATCAACAGCCAAGACCGTAACATCAAGTTCACTAGAGAGCTGGACGAAAACCATTCTGTTGCTTTTCTGGACTCATCAATCACACATGAGAGCGACGGCTACAGGAAGGTCACACATACCAACCAATACTTCAACTTCTAGTCGCACCACCCGCTGCATCAAAAACTGGGGTTCGTAAGAACTTTCAAACACAGGTCCAACACGAATGTGACTAAGGAAGGAAAAGAGAAAACTCTAGGGAACAAGACACTGGATGAAGCTCTCGCTGTGTGTGGTTACCCACCTTTGGCCTTGAAAAAACTGCGTCGGGTCAGGACAGAGGTGATTAACTGTGAGCCAACAGATACAGTCAGTAAAGAAACAGCTGTGATCCTCCCTTAGCGTAAAGGAATTTCAGAGAAAGTGTGCAGGGTCTATGAAAGGAATAGCGTCAACACGGCTTTTATACCCCAGCGCACATTAGAATAACACCTTGTAAAGCCAAAGAACAAGCCCCTCAAGAACAACGCTGTGGGACCACATATAAGATCAATTGCCATGACTTGAATTCTTTTTACATTGGTGAGACAGGTTGACAGAAGAAGACCAAGGTAAACGAACAAAGGAAATCGGTGACTGTAGAAAAATCATCAGTGCCATTTCTAAACAAGCAACAGGGATTCAACCAAAATCCTTGAACTTGAGTTATCTGATATGCCACGCATGGTACGAAAGGCTGTCAACATTAGACGCCACCTGCCACCCATGAATAGGGACGGGGGGGGGGGGTCGATCTGACATTTATTAGAAGGTCGTGGCAGCTATACCACCTAGTAATAACATGCACTCACATCAGTCTGATGAAGGCTTTCGTCCAGATTGGCCGTAGCTAACGATATGCACGTATTTCAGCTTTTGTTTTATAATTTTCATATACAATTAAATACCGTTTTTTACCGGATAAAAACTTAAGCATAGAACAGAAATTAAAGCACCGGTGTAATGGGAATGGTAGTGCTAGCCAATTTACTTTGTACAGGTGATATTGTCCCATATAATAAACCCCAAACTCCTTATAATCCTTACCAATAATAAACATATTGGACTCTGAACATTCATAGTACTACCATTCCTGTTTTACCGGTGACACTGTCATTTATTAGTTTTAATTTTTTTCTGACTTCAGGAGAATGTGAAGTGACACATTATAAGCCAATTTGTAAATAAACACATTGCATGTTCACAAATAATTATCTCCGGGTCATTGAAATTATACAACGCATGACGTTTTAGACAAAAGTATAATTGCACTTAAATTTCAAGTCAGTAAGAACTACTGTTCAGCAAACGAACAAAATTTCCCCACTGAAGTTGAAAAAATGTTAACAAAGGTTTTTTGACTGAATCCGGTCCAGTTTTGCACCAATATAATCCAGGTGTTCCCTCCGGAATCCACCCATGGCAAAGTGCCAAAATCCAAAATAGACGCCAATTCCTTGGAGAGGGTATTTAAATGGGCACATCAAGGAAACTCGGCAACTTTGAAACTTGTGCGAGGTACTACAAATGTTTTAAAGGCATGGTCATTCATTTAGAAAAGTTTGGAAGTCATCAGAGGTCAAGGACATGCCTAAATGTCCAGGTCAATCTCGAAAAAGAACCAAAATAGCTTAAAATACATCAACTTTCTGTATGCTTTCAAAAGGAAACTCTTTTATAATTTATCGTCTATAAACAATTAAATGACGGTGTTTATTATTTTAACCATCTAGATATATATTAAAGGTTTAAGAACAATGTGAGAAACAACGAGAATCAAACTTTATTTAATAATAAACACTTTTCCCCTAGGCAACACAGTTGTTACTCTTCACATGATAATTTTATATTATATGGGGATCGAGGGTGTGGAAATTAGTGACATCCAAATATTGATTGCCAATGGACGTTAAATTATTGGCAGTAGTTAATGCTTAGGTAATTATATGATAGTTGGTTTGATTTCAGAGTTAGGGTTAGGGGTTAACGGGTTAGGGTTTAGGGTTAGGGTTAGGGTTAAGGGGGGGTAGGGTTAGGGTTAGGGTTAGAGTTTAGGGTTAGGATAAGGGTTAGGGTTAGTTAGGGTTAGGGTTAGGGTTAGGGTTAGGGTTAGGGTTTGGTTAGGGTTAGGGTTAGGGTTAGGGTTAGGGTTAGGGTTAGGGTTAGGGTTAGGGTTAGTGGTGTGGTTGCAGGCGACGTGGCACCGACCTAAGACCTACAATTATAGATGATGTATGCTGTTATACACAATTACAGATATGTGAAATGTTTTGAGATCATCCAAAGAAACGAGTAGACGCAGCAGAAATATGTGGTTACCAAACCATCTGTTTTCATGCTGTGAAAAATGACCGTTGCTGTGACCGCACTCGGCGTTTATGTGAATAGGCCCAATGGACAGTACAGAAGCTCCTCCTTTCTCATCCAAGGATAATAATTGTCTATTTGTGTCAAGAGCGTCCGCCTCCTGTCCGACCATGTACCTGTCAACAGTTTTTAAAGTGAATGCTATATTTGCCTATTCTCCCCCACCCCTCCAAATTTTTGTGACCTCTTATATCTCGCACGACTCGAATTAAGGTATAGACCTTATGAATTTAAGACATTATCAACAGTTTGTACGGAATGGATTTTATTTCATCACTTCCTCATTCTTAGTTCACTGAAAAGGTGAGTTGTTTTGGATAATAATGGGAAATGCCCCCAGTCTTAACGACGCTGAGGTGTGCGTCATAATTGCCAAACCCAAGTTTATCCATAAATTTTGACCATCAAATGCCACTGACAAAAGCCTTGACACTTAAGTCCGGGTATGACACGTCGCACCTTGTCATAAATAGTAATTTTCACATACATGTAGGAGTATATCAAACCCAGTGGTGCTTTTTCTGGAGATTGTCACCTTTTTCTTATACTACGCCAACCTTGAGGCGATTTTTGCTACCAGTACTATATGCATGTATTTACCGGTAGTTACCATATATATTTAGTTACCAATATACTGTGATATACCGATAAATTCAGCTGATCATTTGTCGACATGAAAAAAGTACAAGTCAAAAATTTAAACCAAATTCAGATGGTATTTTCAGATTTCAGGTTTTTCGGTTTTAATCTTAATTTCATAATTTTTTAATTGTATAGAAGGACGACATAAATGCATCAATCAATGAAACACCTCAATGAAAGAACGATATTTTTCTTCCTTATATTTTACACGTATTATTGTTCTTCCTTATTTTTACTTAGCAAACAATCCATCATCCCAACGCTATGATCGATGACTAGTTAAACAGTTTAAAATCCGGAATCAATACAATAAAACTTTCTATCCCCTTACTGGGCCACACAAATAACAAAATACTTCAAAATACTTAAGGTATAAATATCTGCCAAGGTAACAAAGACTAAGTATGCACGTTCAGGGCCCTGTGTCTGAGACCAATATGTTCCGCATCATGGATAACGAACTGATTCTTGGTGTATATTATTCGCCATATTATTACTTCAACACGTATAATTCACCCGTCCTGCAGAGGCGGCAGACGTGAGTTGTTCTCCGTGAAGAAGATTCAAGATGAACGCCCTTTATCTGTTGCTAGTGATTGGTTGGTGAGTTTGTGTCTTTGTGGTCTTTCCCTTTTTCATACTCCTTTTCAGCTCTTTGTCTTTCTCTCTTTCTCTCCAATTTTCTCTCTCTCTCTCTCCGATTTTTTCCGTCATTTAATGCAACAGCCCGGGTACAGGTCATTCATCTGAGCTGACCACCTGTCTGTCCGAGCAAACACCGAACGTTATTTTAACGTTAACCTATGGTTATGGTAACGTTATAATAAGTCCTGTGTTTGCTAGGGTAGTTTAGATAAGTGTATGAATAGGCAGTGGACAGTCCAGTAAAATAAACGTCAAAAATCTTTCAAGTATTCACATATTCTGTATCCCGAGGTATTCTACGGTATTCTGTAGTATTTCACGGTACTCTACAGTATTTACCAGTGCATGCTTACCTGTATTCACGTGTCTCACTGTATTTACAATATTCCAAGGAATAAACAATATTTCGTTGCGTTCTATTGTTCTTTTTCTTACGTCTTTTACGTTTTTTACATCTTATTTTATTTTATTTCTCTCTCTCCCGTAGTTTGTCTATTTATTCAAAAGTTCTAGCTATTTATCTACATTTTTCCAAATGAAATCTTGCTTATTTATTGCTTCATCTCCTCTTATTTATCGTTTTTTTTTACATTTTTTAGTCTTTTTTCTTCCTCGAGCTCTTTACTCGTAGTAAATCCATTCATTTGTTTGCCTGTTTACTTTTTATTTACTTATTTATTCATTCGCCAATCTAGTACTAGTAATTCATCTAAATTGAAAGAAGAACCAGAGCCTGGCAGTCTTGGAAAAAATCTATAGTGTTCTCTTGGTTCGCGTATATGGTTAAGCATAACCAATCATTTCGAATAGATCAATCCAGACAGTACGAAGACACGAGGGAGTCGTTATATGCGACAGTAATCACACTATAAAACAAGGACGTGGTTAACGCTAAGGACAGATGTGATTCATTCAAAAATGCCGTTTATTTATTTTAATTCATTCTTTCATTTATTCATGATATTTGGGAAGATAAAAGTGCCCGCGGCTAAGGTGATGAAGGAGACATTTACAAAAGAAAGTGTATTGATATTAATAAGGGTTACCTCTACTATTGTCATTTATCGGGTTTATGCCGCAAACATGTGCTCTCGTCTGATAGATAATGTAATTTATTCGAATTTTGGTTAACCTCTTTTTCACACAAGCATAATGTGCCATTGTCTTGTTGTAACACCCAATGACAAATGACATTTGTTCTTTTTATTTTTTTTTAAAATCAAATTGCGACACTCAAGCGTGCTAAAGCTTAGAGTCAAAATACAATAGACTCTAAGCACGTAGTGCAGTCAGTATTCGACGCTGAAACTGTGTAACTGGTCATTTTGCCTCCGTTTTCGTTTCTTCATAACACCTTACTAAATGAGTTACTGTATCATAATGACGCATCTATGAAGATCTACTAAAAGATGGAATATCTTATCTGAGGATCAAAATACATGTACATCGCACATTATAATTATCGATCTCATATTATTATTGATAGATTTTCATTGATGCTTTTTTTATGATAACATTTATTTTTAAAGAACTATACGGCGATTTGATATGGATTTCATAACACCCTGTGTTATAAATTCTCGGGACTATATATTTGCAAATTTTAACTGTGTGTCCGCCGTCCCACTTTAAAGCATATCTTTCGCAAATAAAGTAATTTTTATCGGTTCACGAACAAGTTTAATAACATTTTACTCTCTTTACTCCAGCTATGTCGTAGTGCTAGGACTTCGGCGCACCATTTATAAGTGACGCCACAAAAGGTCATAATTATGTACCAACAAATCGCCACCTTTAACCTAAATTCACAACACGACTGTCCATGTCTCGCGGTTACATTCATTCAAACGGTAATTTCCGTTAACACCCGTTAAATGACTTCCTTGTCGCGTCACGTTGCATCTCTTTCTTCTTAACAAAGGTAAATACAATAGGAGGTGGGTGCCAATAGATATAGAAAAATATAAACTATTTGAGCCTGAATAAGTTCACTTTTGTGTCTGATCAGCATAATAATCATGTTTATTGTATTAATTATACATTGGGAGTCGCGTTTGAAGTTTTTTGGTTTACTTTCCCTGCAGGTTGGCAACATTAGTGCCCATTGTGACGGGGTCTTACTGCACACAAACCTACACCTGCACAAAATCTCAGCGGTATACGACTAGCTGCGGTTTTCTGGGATGGAAGAGATGTACTCGTTACAGGTAACACGACTCGTTCTATGTAATGCCCCTATTTCACACAGACCACGAATCCCACGAATGGCCATTAATTGAAAATTTCAGGATTCGTGGTTGAATCGTAATCAGTTCGTGAAGTTCTTAACAGATTCGTATATAATCGTAGCCGGTTCTTGCAATTCTTGATCAATCGGGAATTCGTGGCAAAAAATTTGAGCTGTTCAAAGTTTTGGCCACGAACTCCAGATTCCAAAAAATCGTAGTGAATTTCTGGACAATATTCGTGCGATTCCAGCCGACTCCCACGGATATTCGTGACACTATCGCACCTGTATCGTAACTGAATCGTAGAGCGTGTCGGATTAGACCAGAAAATTGGCAAAATCTCACGATTCCAGCCGAATCCCACGAATAGTCGTAACACTATCGTATCTGTATCGTAACTGAATCCTGAGCGTGTCGAATTAGACCAGAAAATTGGCAAAATCTCACGAATCCTTACGAATCCTGAAATTTGTCAATTCCTGGCGATTCGTGGGATTCGTGGTCTGTGTGAAATAGGGGCCTAAGATAACCAAGTGTAACAGGAATGGTAGTCCGCTTCCCATTACTTTTGTACAGGTGACATTCGTCCCATATACTTATACTAACTCCGGATAACCCTACTTATCATATCTTAGCCCGGATAACCATTTCACCGGCAGGATATACACTCTACGGTTGGAAATAAGGGAAAAAGAACAGTACACAATATATTGTAGAAGTATCAGTTTGGGATGCAAATAAATTTGCATTGGTCTCTGGTACACTGTAGGTCAAAATACAATCTCATTTAAACCAAAATAGACCAAAAGTTTCCGGGCCGTGACGTACCCTCTTCTAAATAATAATAATAATAATAATAATAATAATAATAATAATAATCTTTATTCATCTACATAATTGGATTCTTTTTACAGAGTCGTGAACTCCCAGTGTTCCAGGCAGGTGTGTTGTAACGGATGGACCGATCCAGGTTGTAAACAAGGTATGTGGACTGATGCTTAATTGCATCGAAATTAAGGTAGTTGGAAGAAACCAGGTTACGGTTTCGGCGATAATGAGTGTAAAAAGAAAAAGCAATCTAACCGCAGCTGCCTATATACCAAGGATCCTGTTCCGGTTCCTGGAATTATGGGAGTGGGAGTGGATATCATTATTAACAGTTCATGATTCATATTCAGGTGCAGTTGACAATAGAACAGGAGTGTTATAACAAATAATACTGGTAAACACTAAGGACCCGGTTCCTGGTTTCTTAAGAACGCGCAGAAGGTAGAGGGTATCCTAATAGCATGTAAAATTATATAGAAAATTATATTAAACATAATAACATAACAGAAGTAAGGAAGCAGCTTATCGGAAGAGAGTTGAGTTTCTGTACAGCACTTCTAACAATTACACTGTCACTGTACCTGGTACGATTTATAATAATAAAGGCAGAACGGCACAAGAGTGCTATTAAAATAAGTACAACACAGCATCGAATCGATACCATGCCACAGCGGTATTTTTTAGGTTCTACCCGGATCTTATAAATCCTTCATTTGTTGTTTTTCAATCAGCCCTTTGCTATGGCAGCAAGTCGTGTCCTAACGGCGGAACCTGCGTCTCTCCTAACAAGTGCTCTTGTCGACCAGGGTACGCCCTACCACGATGTGCAGGTAAGATTCCCTGATTTTGTTTATCAGGTGTTTCGTTTGGTAATAACTCTTTAATGTAGAGCTAAAGAAACACTGTGATTAATTTCTACAAATAATGTTTTGTAAGTTGGAATTAAAACGTTGATTTAAAGGTTTCAAAGCTTTGTTAAATTTTTGTCAAAAAATTTAAGAGTTACTTAAATGACAGAAACTAAAGCAATATGTCAGAAAAAGTTAAGTGAAGAAATGATTGTACCGGTATTAATTAATTCGAGCAAAATGAAAATGTGTTTCACTTTTGCTGAGATTACGCATTTTAATTTTAAAAAACTTTAAGTTTCAAGTTTTAAAAAACTAGTAGTTGTAATTTCTGGGAATAGCAATTGGACTTATTTAAGTATTTTCTATAGCTTACCCAATCAACTGTCGACTTAATGTTGCTCTTCGTCATTACTCTCAAGCCATTTTATGCAGTTCCCCAACTTAACTGCACAGCGTTTCATTTCGCTGGCACAGGGCGTATAATGCCCACAGTATCTACATGTACAATTAAACGTTTGGGTACATGTATCTAAATGTCCTTTTGTATAATAAAAAAAATGGTGATTTTCTACATCTTTACAGATATAAACGAGTGTGCCAGCAGTCCTTGTCAAAATGGTGCACGTTGTGTAAATGAAGTGAATCGCTATACCTGTCAATGCGCAGCCGGATACACCGGTGTCAACTGTCAGAACGGTAAGTTTGAGAAATTGGTTCCACTTCATATGCCTGTGAGTGGCTAGGCCGGGCTTATCGTTCCCTAAAATGTTAGTCATGGCGGAAGCAAAGACACAAGAAGGTTTCGGGGAAGGAGAAACCCCTAGCTACAGTATTTTTGGAACAGTCATAAAACAGCGCCCTCTTCTAAAAACAAGTCCCCCATACCTGTACGTTCCTGCATGTCCACTGGTACGTCTTTGAAATTTATATTCAATAGCAAGTCACTCGAGCCAATATTTGTACGGCAAACGTAAAATTTGATTCCATACAAGTACTCATTTCACAATATATGGTTCTGTAAACAGACGAAGAACAATGGTTGTAACCATAAATACAACTTCTTCCAAACTCTGAGACTTAAATTGTAGCATTGTATTAAAAACACGTGTGAGTATGAAATAAACCGAGAAAATCGATACATCTTAACAGAAATACAGATGTATACTTCAAACAATATTAGAACAATTTACAATGTACATGTACTGTACACTGTACATTTGCACCGTTAAAATACGGATATATTGATATTTATGGTGTCATGGCAACCCTTTCAATACGTCAAATATGATATAGATTAACATTTCTATCCTAAATAATTGAGAATAATTAATGTCATGTTTAATTTACCCTTTAATTTCATGTCTTAACTATGTTTTTACATCTTTTTTTTCAAAGAAAGTTGATTTGACTGTAAAACTATTGTTGTTATTTGAAGTGCACCCTTTAATTTGATGTCTATGATTTACAGCTTGTTTTTAATACTGCAATATTTAATCATTTTATCATTGTAATGTCTACTGAACTTTTAAGTATTTTAGACTTTAAATAAATGCTATTATTATTATTATTATTATTATTATTATTATTATTATTATAGATATAAACGAATGCAGTAGCAATAACGGCGGATGTGCACAGCAGTGCGTTAATTTGCGAGGTTCCTTTGTCTGCAGGTGTGGTAGCGGATACAGGCTCGCGTCGAATAACAGAGGATGCGACGGTAGGTGGCACTCACAATGAAGATTATGAGCATTCGGTGCAGTGTGTGTTAGCAATAAGTGCACTTACATTATTGAAATTATTCTGAAATATATGTGTATTATTTGGTCTTTTGAAAAAGAGCTTCATTTCATTAATTTCTTATTAGACAGATGCTTGATAATACTTGATGGAGCAAGATGAAAAATAATCAAATCGTAATAAACGGGTTGTTTTCATTATACGTAAAATACATATGTCAACCATAAATTGAAAACCCTAAGACCGATATCACTACTTAATGTTGTGTATAAACTCGCCTCGGCATGTATAACGAATCGAATAAAGAAAGTATTACCAATATTAATAAATGAAGACCAAAATGGGTTTATGGCGGGCAGATACATAGGTGAGAATATACAGACCATTTTCGACTTAATTGAATACTGTGACGCACATGAAATACCAGGTCTGTTGATGCAAATCGATTTTGCTAAGGCTTTCGATTCAATCGACTGGGGTTTTATCGAAAAAACCTTTGAATTCTTTGGCTTTGGAGAATCTATCATAAATTGCTGAGATGCTGAGATACTAAGTATCATGTTAAAAAATGAAATAGACATAAAAGGCATTATAATACATAATCAAACTTTTCTCATCTCCCAGTATGCTGATGACACGACTATTGTGTTGGATGGGACTGAAAAAAAGTTTAAGAAATACCCTAAAGGTCCTAAATGAATTCTCCCAATTTTCTGGACTACAAATGAACAATCAAAAAACTAAATTAAACTGGTTCGGAAGCAAGAAAGACTCACAAGAGAGCATGTGTAAAGAGTTGAATCTCGATTGGAATGAACGTTTTTTCAGAATCCTTGGAATAGATTTCTCAGTAAATTTACATGAAATGATTGAGAAAAATTATAGAGAGAAACTCGAAGATATGGAAAGAACTATGAAACAATGGACTCACCGATCGCTAACAGTTTTGGGGAGAAATGTAATTTTTAAATCACTGATCCTTCCAAAAATGACTCATTTATTTTCCACATTGCCAATACCAAACAAATATGTAGACAAAATACAAAAAATGTGCTTTAATTTCATATGGAATGGAAATATTGAAAGAGTAAAACGAGATATAATGACACAGTCGTACTCAAATGGAGGTATAAAAGTCCCCGATATTAGAAACTATATTGATTCCCTAAAAATTTCATGGCTCAGGAGAATCATGCACAAAAATTCAAAATCGTCTTTCTTTTTCCTTAGTCTGATCCCTGAAAGTAAGGGTGTACACTGGTCTGAAATGGGAATATCTGAAAAGCATAAAATTAAGAACGGATCAAAAAATGCTTTTTGGAATCAGGTCATTGATGCATGGTGCATACTGTTAAAAAATAAAAAGATTGTTACAAAAGAAAATTTTTTAAAAGAATGTTTATGGCTAAATGATAAAATACTGATAAAAACAATCCTATTCTTATAAGAAGCTGTAATAAAATAGGAATAAGAAACATAAATGACTTGATCGATACAGAGGGAAATTACCTCACATACGAACAGTTCAAGGAAAGGCACGGGAATATAATAAATTATGTA